TATATATGGTGACAAATAAATGTTTGGATAATTTTTCAAAAGAACAAACATTCAATAACAAGTCTTTTTAATCAGGTAAGAACAAATAAATAATTTTTTTGAAGTGTAAAAACTTCAGATTTCTTAACATTTATTAATGGAACCATCATGGTCTGTCCTGTGCAGAATAACAAAACACTAAAACATTTCTTTACTAAAACCTCTGTAACTTTGCTCCAGTTAACGTTAGCAGCATGAATCTTTGCACAGGTGATGTCCACAAGTGGTTTTATGGTTTCCAAGAGTTTTCAGCCTGATTCATTATGGTTTTAAATGGGTTATATACTGTCTAATGAAAAACATATTCAGGTGAGAGTGAAATTTTTTTTATGTTCCATCTAGGGTTGGGCATGATCATATCGTGTGCGATTAATCGTCAGAAAAACGTTAATCGATTTTTTTGGCACTTCACGATTAATACGATTGTCAATCCGCTCCTCTCTGCTTCAAATATGACGAAAAACGTTGTGTAATTAATTTATCTATCAACACAATTTTAAATTTGATGTATAGCCTGAAGAAGTCCGCAATTTTGACACAATTTGGAACGGATTTTAACGAAGAATCTTTCCCACTAAATTGGTCATGTGACTAAAGGGTGACCAGGGACTCCAGGGGATTAATCCTGAAATTAATCGTTATCGTCTAAATACCACAATTAATCGTGATTAATGTTTTTTGGCAATATTGCCCAACCCTAGTTCCATCCGCAATATCTCTAAAATCACAGCACCTGTTTTAATACTTCACTTCTGATGAAATCTCCCAAGTGTTATTTATTATTATTTAAGTAGAGTTTGTAAATACTGACATACACTCAGTTACATTTCACTGTGGGATTTAGAGAAAAAAAATCAAGAAACCCCTCGGGGCTGAAGAGGTTAATTATTTCTACTTTATAGTAGGGGTGTAAGAAAATATCGATACACTGAAATATCGCAATATTTCATTTCCTGATACTGTATCGATATTCTAACGCCCTGTATCGATTTTTAATTAAGGTTTAAAATGTCAACCTTCTTGCCAGCCGTTCATTTTTATGTTGTAGTTCAGCCTCTGACCACTAGTTGGCAGCAGTGAGCCAGACATTTGGCTCCTCTACCTCTTGAGTGCCAGAGAGTAAGGGTAGCATTAGCTTTTCTTTCTTTTTTTCAATAAGAGGTTTTTATTTAATAGAATTTTTGGACAAAAAAA